TATATATATACAATATACATATATACATGACGCACACACACACACACACACACACACACACACACACACACACACACACACACACATATATATATCATTCGATAATAGATCATACATCCACTACTTTTGCATCAAAATAAATTGAAAGCTACAAGAGATAAAATAATGAAGGAATGTAGTACGCGAGAGGTTATGCATAAGAGTTTATGGACCGGAACTCACCTCAACAAGACGGTGCAGGTTTATTAGGTCTACCACCGAACCTATAGTATCAGCATCAATAGTTTCGAATTCATCTGTAAATAGTTGATGTGACAAGAGGAGCTGGAGGCGTTGCCCCGATATGTTTGCTGCCGCCTGCATATTTACGCGACTATGTACTAAAAATACAGTGCAGCGGTAGTTGTAGATTAAACAGCTACTGCCGTGCTAGTACTTCGCAAAGCAAAGTATGTACAAGTATGTATACGGATCTCCAACTACAGACTAGTCGTTTGACTCTATGTTAAGCATTCATACATAAGGCTACTAGCAGGTGCGTACCGTGAACGGAGAATAGTTGGTAGAATACATAGAGCATTACTCTTCGATTATACTTTTTTTGTGTGATATTAGGTTGCTATGGCTAGGTTGTACACGTGCTGGCGCTGCCGTCAAGCTATGGTTGCAAAACTATTACTTTTTGAACGTATGAGATATTTGTTGGGTTCATACCTTAAAAAACCCCTCTTTTTTAAAAACAAAACAAAAAAACAGTATAAAGTTGAACCGGCTGTTTACAGTGTTTTAGAACGGTCTGCCACTTCACACTTGTATCAGGCCCAGTGCTGCTCTCCAGCAGTCTCCACTGGTCTCCCCAGTTCTCCTTCTCCACACTCTCCAGTCTCGACTCTCCAGTCTCCTGGCAGCAGTCTGTATTCTGCAATCGTGTGGCTTTGTGAGCTGTGAGCCTTTTGAGGTGTCATCAGAAATATACAAATCAAATCGGTATCCCGCTATGAATAGTATATTTGCTAGTGACTGGCCAGTGGCCCACTCAAGAGAAGTTGTTGTGTACATATTTATATTTTTATATACTTTGAAGAATATAGACAGTTGACACTCTCGCAGTCTCGCGAGTCTCGCCCAAGTCTCGCCGAGTCGCCGCTCGAGTGTGCGACTCCACTACTGTTTGTGAGCACTCTAAAAAAGTACGACAAAGTTCGGTAAAATTGTGAATTTGTGATTCTCTCTCTCGTCGTCTTGTTATTGTATTTTTACTTTTTAGCTGTGTAGTGTGGACTGTAGAGTGTGGACTGTGGACCCTTCTGTGGCCTTGGGACGGAATTCAGCTGGTGATCACTTTTAAAAGAGGGTAAAAATCATATTCAACAATATGAAAAGTAGGCGATGTGTTTTATTTGTGTGGACTATTTTCAGGGACTGAAATAAATATAGCTCTGGTTTACTACAAATAAAAGCGTATTTTACCATCAGTGTCATGCGTGGGGTAGCGAAATTCGGGTTCATAGTACATAGGAGTATGTAAAACTAAATACACAAACCCCCACCGAGTCCTGAGTCCCGACCCAGTACATCCTACAAACTACCACAAAATATTACAGAAAGCATCTCTCAAGAGCCCTATTTATCCGCTCTACTCGAAGGTATTGAGACTGGATTTGGAAGGCTACGAGTTGTGTATAAGTATCTTTAGCTAAACACATAGAAGAATCATTATTGTGCTAAGGACACACATCCGCATTCACACGCAAACACACACGTGTACACACACACACACGTGTACACACACACACACACACACACACATATATTTCGCCCAAGCTACCATGTTAAGGACGACAGCAGCGAGGACTGCATCCCGCAGTGCGATCACTGTGCAAAGACGGTCTCTGGCCACACAAAGCCCTGCGTTGCGAGCTGCTATGGGAGTAGCTACAAACGAGGACAGTAGCGCCACATCTTCACCCCGGTCCTTTTACAATGTCTTCTCACGCACTCCGTTTGGTAGAATGGGTGCAGAGACAAAGGGCATCCTCACTCGGGCCAAGGTTTTGGGCGTGCACCGTAATACGGCTAAGCTGGATCTGGGCAGCAAATTCCCAGCGTATGTTTATCTCTATAATGATGAAAAATTGATGTTTGTTCTCTCTGTTGAGATTAAAGTTCTGAATGTTGAGCCATGTTAACTTGCGCGGTTGCAGACTACAACACGTGGTGGATTTTATAGCAGATTCAGAGCTGTATACACCTTACGTATATACGAATA